CTCAACCAAAAAAGTGTAATAGGTAATAATATTCGTGAATCGTTAGAAATAATAAAACATAAAAAAAGATCATGTAATATTAAATAGAGATGAAGGCATGGCGAATATTTCTGCAAAAATGTGGATTGATCTCCTTTGAATGGTTTAGCATGAATGTATGAAAAATAACATACGGGTCAATGACCTACTAACAAGTTATAAATACTTTGGCAATTGTCTTGTAATTCACTCATGAGGATGACGTTGTAACGTCGAAACATGTAGAGTCGTCAACTTTTTGAAGCCTAAATAAAATGTTTATAATTGTGTACCAGTTTAACGTTGAATATTATTCATGATTTTAATCTTTAGACATTTTAGTTCGAAGAAGTAAGTGTTTTTTTTAGAGCTCCCGACTCTCAACCTGTGGGTGGCGGGTTCAAAGCCCCATTTCAGCAATGGGAGCATTGTAATGTGACGGTCAATCCCACTATCCCGTGGTAAAAGAGTAGCCCAAGAATTGGCGGTGGGTGGTGTTGACTAGCTGCCTTCCCTCTAGTAGGAACGGCTACCCCAGATAGCCCTCGAGTAGCTTTGCGCGAAATTCAAAAAACAGACAAACTAACTTCGAAGAAGTGTCAATTAAGTTTGATAGTGGAAATAAAATTGTTAGAAATATTGTACAAACAACTAGAAACTTTTTAATTGCCTCGTATATCATTTTGGATACGTGTTTTCACCAAAATATGCTCTTATCATCCAGAAAAGGAGGAAAAGTGGATCTCCACAGAAATGTAAACCCAGGAATTCGTTAAATCATTAATCGTGCAGAGAAAAACCAAAACGAAAAACAAAACTCAGTAAGAAATCATCTTTTTCCCTGTTCATCTGATTGATAGTTGTTTGGAAACTCCTGTAAAATTTCAACTATTTGCGTCTCCTAGTGCGCGAGCGACTGACATGAGGGTCGAGTGTTATTAGTATAACCCATATTCATTGTATTATTTTATATTTGGTCTCGGCTCGAATATCATTTCCTTTAAAAAATCTAGTTACTTAAAGTATGGTATAATAATGGCTGACAACGTTTCGACAAGGTTTTGTCATCATCAGGTACAAAAACCTTGTCGAAACGTTGTACATTTGCTGTTCTTATATTAAAGTTTTTCTTCATTACTCCAACCATTATTAGTCTCAAAGTGGGTTCCTCCTCATCGAGGCCCGCCATGGCCAGGTGGTTAGGGCATTCGACTCGCAATCTGCGGGTCGCGGGTTCGAATCCCCCGTCACACCAAACATGCTCGCCCTTTCAGCCGTGGGGACGTTATAATGTGACGGTCAATCCCACTATTCGTTGGTAAAAGAGTAGCCCAAGAGTTGATGGTGGGTGGTGATGACTAGCTGCCTTCTCTCTAGTCTTACACTGCTAAATTTGGGTCGGCTAGCGCAGATAGCCCTCGTGTAGCTTTGCGCGAAATTCAAAACAAACAATCCTCGTCATCGAATTTAAAGTATGGTATATTTTCAATACGTAAGTTTACATCATTGTATACGTCACAAGCATTTTTATTTTTGCTTAGTGAAACAAAGCATAAGTTACATTGGGATTTACAAACACGTAAGATGACTATTATATCTCATCTTCATTTAACTTAGAGCTATAAATGTTAGAAGAGAAGGGTATTCGATCGTCTTATTCTGTCAAATACTGCGTTCTATCAAATCTCTTTCGACACACTTATTTTTTCAAATAGGTCTACAATATTTAACAAAAATGATTAAACGCTTGAATGTGGACTCAAAAAATTCGAAAGATAATGATAGTTGAAACTTATGTTCAATATCTTACCGAAATACCTCGGGAATGTTGTTGTCAGAGCGAAAATACAAGAGAAGCCGATGAACGCTTGCAAAACTATCGCCATCTTGTGACAAAAAACTCAAACAGACATGAATGCAGTAAATCTACGTTTTGTGGTTCTTTTCAGACGCTCGGTTGAAATTTAAAAGGACTTTGCTGGACACGGACGTTCGTTGAAAGTGAACGTTTTACAGTCCTACTGATCCCATTTTATTGAATTATTTAGGATTTCCCCACTTCAGAGAGAGAGTGTATTTTGAGGTAAGTCTAAAAGAGATTCGCTTGGTTTGCTCCACAAAAGTTAACAGGTGAAACCAGGTGAAGTAAATAACATAGCTGCATGAGTCACTTCAAGTAAATTGAAACCAATTTAGGCCAGATCCTTGTTCGAACAGACATCCTAACAGATTCATTCAAACTACATGTACAAGTGTTCCCATATTTTTCAACTCGACTGGTTTTTATGACAATTAAATCGAAAAGAATTTCTGTGTCCGTCTAGAGATTTGAACCAGAAAGGGACACCTGTAACCTGTTTTTTCATGTAATTATGAATCCTGTTTGTTGTTTTTACTAATAACTTCAGTTTTCAAATTGCGTCTCAGAAAGATTACTTGGCCATTCGTGATGTCAGAAAAACACGCAAGATAAAAAAACACAACCTCTGGGTTATCAGAATATGTAGGTAATCAGTCTTCCGTCACGCTAGTTTGTTTGCTAGTTTGTTAAAAAGCATAAAGCTACACAGCGGGCTTTCTATCTGTGCCCACCTCAGGTATCTAACTCCGATTTTAGCACGATAAGAACTTAGACTTACTGCATAGCCACTGTTAACAGCACGTTAGTTAAGACGTGTGAGGGTAAAAGAATTCCGACTACTTTAATTATTTCAGTTTCGCTTTTATTTTAGCAGGGATATTATGAAAGTAGATTGTTTATAATTATGCACAAAGCTACGCAATGGGCTATCTGTGCTCAGCCCACCATGGGTATCGAAATCCGGTTTCTAGCGTTGTAAGTCTGCAGACATGCCGCTGTGCCACTGGGTGGCATGAAAGTAGAACGTGTACAAATCATCTAGATCGCATTTGATAGCTTCACGTAGCTAAATATACAAAATAGACTGTAGATTAGTAGCTAGCAGAAAGGGACTGGGAATTCCAGGATCTCGGGTTCGAAACGAGGTGCAACCAAATACCTTCCACACTTTCAGCTGTGGCTGCGTTATAATTCGGTTTACAGTATCCGCTTCAGCCAACTAGTTGCCCTTCCTCTTGCACACAGCCCAAGATTAGCCTGAACCATAGGGATATCCGACTTAGTCGTTTAGTCAACAAACAAACCAAAATAGTTGTTTTTTAATATAAAAAATATACATTCTAAATCATTCACTCGCAATCTAAAGGTCAAAAATCTAAATCCTGTCACCTAACATGCTCGCCCTATTAGCCGTAGGGGCGTTATGATTGACGGTCAATCCCACTATTCGTTGGTAAAAAAGTAGCCCAAGAATTGGAGGTGGGTGGTGTTAGTTAGCTGCCTTCCTTCACATCAAAATTGTTTGTTTGTTTTGAATTTCGCGCAAAGTTACACGAGGGCTATCTGCGCTAGCCGTCCCTAATTTAGCAGTATAAGACTAGAGGGAAGGCAGCTAGTCATCACCACCCACCGCCAACCCTTGGGCTACT